TTCTTCATAAAAAAATTGGTTTTTTTGCAGACAAGTTTAAATTTATGTCTAATTTAGTAAAAAACTATTTTACAGTTAAAAATTATCATTAATATTAACAATTATATAAACAATAATCAACTTCCTTTTGTATTTGTAAACATTTTAGTCATTTTTTAAACTTTAAATAATTTATATCATATGTACATTCTTTCAAAAACTTAAAAAATTTATTTGCTTAAACAATTACATTTGTTATAAACAAATTTTTCATTTTTAAACAAATAAGTAGCTTTTTCATCAAACAAAATTTTTTCCTTTTTTTATATTTACTATCATAAAAAAGAACTCCTTAATGAAATGGGAATACTATAAATTATTCATTTAATTCTAACGAACATTATAACTTAAGAAATATTTATATTTTTAATGAAGTAAACCATTATTCAGTTAAATCAGTTTACATTTAAATGCATATAAATAAATATATTTTTTCTGTGAAAAAAGAACAAAGTTAAATATTTGTTAACTTATAATGTTTATTAAAATTAAATGAATAATTTATAGTATTCCCATTTCATTAAGGAGTTCTTTTTTATGATAGTAAATATAAAAAAGGAAAAAATTTTGTTTGATGAAAAAAGCTAATTATTTGTTTAAAAATGAAAAATTTGTTTATAACAAATGTAATTGTTTAAGCAAATAAATTTTTTAAGTTTTTGAAAGAATGTACATATGATATAAATATTTAAAGTTTAAAAAATGACGAAAATGTTTACAAATACAAAAGGAAGTTGATTATTGTTTATATAATTGTTAATATTAATGATAATTTTTAACTGTAAAATAGTTTTTTACTAAATTAGACATAAATTTAAACTTGTCTGCAAAAAAACCAATTTTTTTTATGAAGAAGGTCCAAAGTAATCTATTTGTTAATTAACATTGTTTGTAGTTTCTAGACAATTTTCAATAGTAAGTTGAAAAAAAATCCCACTGTTCATCGCGCTGGAGTGCGCGAGCGGACGGACAAATTTTACTTATTACACTATATCTTTGGCAAATTGTTTTGGCCCATTTTCAGACTTATATCTTCTTTTAGGGGAATTCCCAAGCTTTCATTTGAGATTATTAAAAAGAAAATAAAAACTACCAAACTTGCACAAAATTGCAAAAAACTATTTATTTTAAAAAATTTTTGCAAAAAAATTTTTTTTTTATTATATAAATAAAATATTTTAAAAGTACACAAAAAAACCTTTCTAAAACACTACTTACATTTTTAAATTGAATAATTTAAGTAGAAACTACAAATGTTTAAAGAATGCATGTTCGAGTTTAGGCTGAAATTTCAACCCCCCACCCTTTTGATTGGGGTGGGGGGTTGGACCTGTAAATTGGTGTAGTAACTTGTACCTACTAGGGTAACATATTTTCAAAGTAGAAAGGAAATCCAAGAACTTTTTTTTATTTTTGGGGCAGTTCAGGAATAATGCCTCATATACACTACCGTCCACGAGTATCAGGACGATTACACACGACTCTATGAAAAAACATGCCATCAATTTTTCAATCATATCTCGTAAATAAAAGGAGATACAAAAAATTTAAATACGGTTAGAAAGATTATTATATTTTCCGTAAAATAAGCCGTCTTTGAAGTTATTTCGTTAACTATTTTTTGAGTTGTAGAGTGAGAAATAAATAAAAAAATTATCAAATTTTCTCATTTTTATCTCTTGACTTCAACTTTTTCAAAAATCTAGAAAAATTTAGATAACATTTTTCTAAAAACACAGAAATCTTCGTTAGAATTTCAGCTTTAAAATAAGCATTCGAAAATTAATAAAGGTTAATCCGTCTTCGGTATATCATTAAAAATGTGAAGCCGTGTTTCGACGATTGGTGCATTGGATTTAACTGTGACGATTCGATTCTAGCTTCGCGCGGCTGCGAATGAGAGAGAAAACAGGGACGGATTTATGCTGGGGAATAATAAATAATTATGATTCATGAGCAATATAAAGAAACTCGAAAGTTCATCGTTCCCCTGCATGAATTCGTCCCTTCTTTCCCTTCGACAGTTGAATTTCAATGCACCAATCTGTCGAAACACAGCTTAACATTTTTAATAATATATCGAAGACGGATTAGCCCTTTTTAATTTTCGAAGGCTTATTTTAAAGCTGAAATTCTAACGAAGATTTCTGTGTTTTTAGAAAAATTTTATCTAAATTTTTTAAAATTTTTGAAAAAGTTGAAGTCAAGAGACAAAAATAAGAAAATTTGATAGTTTTATTTATTTCTTTCTTACTCTACAACTCAAAAAATAGTCAACGAAATTACTTCAATGACGGCTTATTTTACGCAAAATTTAATGAGCATTCTAACCGTATTTAAGTTTCTTTTGTATCTTCTTTTATTTACGAGATATGATTAAAAAATTGATGGCATGTTTTTTCATAGAGTCGTGTGTAATCGTCCTGATACTCGTGGACGGTAGTGTATAAAAATTAGTAAACAAGGGTATACAAGTATACAAGTTGGAGAAGCATTAGGCGACCGTTATTCCCACCACTAATACACAAGGCATTTTTGAAAATATCTTTCATCCACTATTGCAACCTACAATAAAAACTTGATGCTTCTTTTGTCTTACCGTCTGATAATTTATTAGATTTTTCTGACGAAGAAATTACATTGAATAACAATGATGATAAAACCTCAGAAGTTGAATGTAAAGTACCTTTGATACAAAGGCTAGAAAATTTTATTTTAGATCTGCCATGGACAGAAGAAGGTACATTTTCACCAATTCATCAGCCATTTTGATCCGCTATTTTGAATTTTTAAAAATGAAGGTCAAATTCGAATTCAGCGACCTGAAAAACCGCCAAATACTGAAATTGATAAAAATCCAAATGAATTTTTAAAACTATATCCGTCATTTTTAATCCGCCATTTTGAATTTTTAAAAATAAAGGTCAAATTCGAATTCACCGACCCGAAAAGCCCTTATACACTAAATGTAAGTTAAAATAAAAAAAAATTTTCATGAATTTTACTTGTTTTTAAATTGTTATATTACTTAAACATAATAAATAATTATTTATTTATCACTTAAGCTAGGATCTTTGCAATCTACTGTGTGTTAATAATGATATAAAAGAATTTATTTTATAATTTACATAAGAAATTGCATTTATTTTGTGCTAGGAAGTTCACGACCCAACGTTGGGTCGTTAACTGGCAACAAGTTAAGTACATATTTCGAAAGTACAACTATTTTATCCACCTATAGTATACATGAGACCCGCCCAAAAAAATTTTATTGATGTGAAAAGCGTGTTTAAAAAAAACCTACGATTTTTTCGGTATTTCCTCCATTTTGGGCGTCATATTGGTTTCCCTGATTGTCTAAATGCTTTTTTGACCACGGATTCTGAAAGAGCGGTTCTCAAAAGTCTAATCAGTTAGGATAAGAATTCTTACATTGAACTTCAGTCAAAAATTTTGGACATTTGGGCCTTAATGGGTCAACCCCATTAGTTCAAAGTTTTGATATAAACTCAAAAAAAATCTAAAAGATTTCTTGATTTAAAAATTTTAGGGTCAGTTTTTTGGATTTTTTTTAAGGTTATTTAAAAACCCTGGCGCGATGGGTTTAAATAAATTTCATATTCAGCTTCATCGATCCCAAAAACATAAGGCAGTAGTAATACTAACCCTCAGGGTACTGACTGGGTTAGCGTAACCCAGGCGAATTTTGAAAGTTGCGCCATTTCTAAACAAATCGATGGAGGCGGCTCGGACCGGAGGGGGAAAAAACTTTGAGATCAGAACCGAAAGTAGCTGATTCGGCAGAGCCGGTCGGCACTTGCTGTTCAAGCTGCGAATTATTGAAATTTGTATTCGGGTGAATTACACCCAGTCAGTACGCTATGTTATAAAATCCATGTTTTTGTGAATTGTAAAATCTCATTAAATTAATCGAAAATTATTCATAAATTACATTTAAAAGTTCATAAAGTGTAAAGTGGAAGGATTTTGTAAATTTGGTGAATTTGGGTTTGTAAATTTTCGCGATATTTTTAATGAATTTATCGTTTGACTTTTTTTTACATGTCAAAAATAGAGCATTTTCAAATCTAAAAAAAAATATACTTTTTAAGATTAATTAAAAAACGGCTAACGCTATCTTAAAGATCAACTTTTCACCTTTCCAAAACACCTATATAAAATGATTTTATTCTTTTTTTCATAAAAATACGAGCTTTTGAAAAAAATATATTTTTTCATGAAAATTTTTTGAAAACCATTTGTATTTTTGATAATAACTTTTATAAATAAAAAAATATCACTAATCCGACAAATCCGGCATATTCCTGGGGAAATTTTAAACAGATTACAAAAAAAGAGTTTAAATTCATCAATTACAGCCCAAGATACAGGCGATCAAAGTTGTTGGGTTACGCTAACCCATGTCAGTACGGAACGTTACATTTTTATAGTCAGTACCCTGAGGGCTAAGACGTTGAATTAAAAATGTTTTTTTATTTAAAATTTTAGGGTCATTTTTTTGGATTTTTTTGAGGTTATCTTAAAACCCTGATGTTATGGGGTTAATTGGACTTCAGATCCTGTTTCAGTGATCTCAAAAACATTAAGTAGTCACTGTCTCACCTAACCCAGATAGCACGTTTCCTTACAGTAACCTTATGGTAAGATTACCGTGTAAGGTTACAAACATTACAGTGTAATGTTACTGTAATGTTACCGTAAGGTCAAAATGTCCCACCTTTTGTAATGTTACACGCAATGTTACACCGCAATGTTAATGTAAGATTGTACGATAATATCACTGTAGGGTTGCAAGGTAAGCCTATATAATATTACTCAGTAACGTTAGACGGTAAGGTTACCGTAAGGTTTGTGCAAGGTTATAAAAATTTTGCTAATTTTTGGAAAAAAATTTTTTTTTTTATTTTAAAATATGAAATTACACAATTATTTTAAAGTAAATGCAATTATTTATACTGTTTATTATATTTTATCGTAGTAATAAATAACCCAAGTAGCACGTAATATTGGGAACATTCCAGCAATATGCCACAACATTGATTCAATATTGGTAATGTTAAGGCAATGTTCCCAATATTGCTGTAATATTACGTGCTACTGGGGAAGTGCATATAATACTGTTTATTATATTTTATCCTAGAAATAAATAAGTGCATCTAATACTGTTTATTATATTTTATCGTAGTAATAAATAAGTGCATATTTGGAACAAAATTATTTATACTGTCAGTAAAACAAAGAACATTTTTAATTGAATGTTTTTTTCTTTAATAAACTGTTTATACTGCAAACCACAATGAATCTGAAAAATAAAAAGGTCCAATTATTTTTAAATGAACAATTACCATTTCTAAATTTAAAAAATTGTATTATAAAAGTAAAAAAGTAAATTTTGAAAATAAAAAATAATTCTTTAAATATCAAACATTATAACAAAGAATTTGAAATCGATTTCTTTTCTGGCCACATGAAAATCGTAAAAAAATAATAAGACGCAATTTCTGGAGTTAAAAATTTTATTATATTCAATTGTATTTTAGGAATTTTAATTATTTGGAATTTAAATTCTACTGATTTTTCAAGTATCTTTATAATTTTTAAATGAGAAAATTACAATTACAATTGTTTTATTTTAGAATAAAAATTTGTGGAGAAATTTTTTTAGATATTTGGAATGTCGGTGAAATAAAAGTTTGGTATTTTAAAAATTCATATTGCATGATAACAGGGTTGCCACAGGTCAGGGAATTCAGGAAAAAGTCAGGGAAAGTAAAATTGGTCAGGGAAGTCATGGAAAAGTCAGGGATTTTTAGTAAAAGAACTGAAAAAAATTGAATTTTAAAAATTCATAAAAAAAACTCCGAATTTTGATGTTTTTTTTACCTCGTAAACTGTGAAATTACCACAAATTTTAATAAAAAATCTTGAATTTTTTCTATTTCAGACAATATTTTCTTTTTAAATAACTTAATTTTACAAAAACTATCATAAAATTATGACATATAAATTATTTAATGAATCATTTTTACAATTTTCATAAATACTAGATTAATAAAAAAATTTTAGTTAAAAATACTAAAAAAAATTAAATTTTGGAAAAGTTACAAATAATTCCAGAAATTCAATTATTTTCAAAATTAATAAAATTTTTCGCAGAAATTCAATTATATTAAAAAATTTGAAAAAATTCTGGTCATTTCAAATAAATCTTTAAAAATAATAAAATTCTTCTCCAAAATTTAATTATGTTCAAAAATTTTTTAAAAATTCTAGTCAAAATTTTAATTATCTTTATAAATAATACAATTCTTCTTCGAAATTCATAGTTTTTTTATCCAAAGTGTTAAAAATAATTCTAAAATGTTATTATTTTTTGTTTGTATTTGGATTTTCAGAAATATGTAATTAAAATTATTGAAAATATTTCATTTTTAAAAATTAGAAGTTAATTTTCATTTTTAAATTAACCTTCAAATTTGGAATTTTTCTAAATAAGTCTAAAAAAATCTAAATTTTATAAATTTCTGACACAAAATTTTTTTTTCTTGCATTTCCCTGACTTTACTGACATTTATACATTCTTCTTTAAAGTTACCTGACAAAATTGTTAAAATCTTTATTATGACGCGAATCTACTTCAGAAAAGTCCTCTTGCATATGCTGAATCTCACTATTGCTGGAGTCACTGTCATGTAATGATTCATCGTTACCAATATTGGGAATACATTCACTGCTTTTTCTTCCACTTGTTGAGGCAATGGGACCAGGGGTGCTATTCTGTAACTTCACTTCACATTCACTTCACATTCACTTCACATTCACTTCACATTCACTTCACATTCACTTCACATTCACTTCACATTCACTTCACTTTCACTTTCACTTCACATTCACTTCACATTCACTTCACTTTCACATTCACTTCACTTTCACATTCACTTCACTTTCACATTCACTTCACTTTCACTTCACATTCACTTCACTTTCACTTCACATTCACTTGACTTTCACTTCACTTTCACTTCACATTCACTTGAATTTCACTTCACTTTCACTTCACATTGTAAGTGAAGTGAAAGTGAAGTGAATGTGAAGTGAAAGTGAAGTGAAAGTGAAGTGAAAGTGAAGTGAAAGTGAAGTGAAAGTGAAGTGAAAGTGAAGTGAAAGTGAAGTGAAAGTGAAGTGAAAGTGAAGTGAAAGTGAAGTGAAAGTGAAGTGAAAGTGAAGTAAAAGTGAAGTGAATGTGAAGTGAATGTGAAGTGAATGTGAAGTGAAGTTACAGAATAGCACCCCAGATACAGAATCTTCCGTGTCTATTTCCATTAACTCCTTCCAATCATTTTCTAATTCCCTTTTGAGAATGCGATTACGATGACGTTTGGAATAACCGAATTCACGTGATGTCTTCCAACGTCGCATGTTATTCAGTAGGCACCTTTTAAATAAATTAAAAATATAAGTTGAAGTTCAAAGGAAAATTACAATTTTTAGTTATCAATAAAGTACATTCGACAGTAATCTGTGTAATTAACATACAACTAATTCAGTTAATAAATTCAAGTTACATTTCATCATTAAGGGGTTACACTACCCTAGAGTCAGAAAAAGAGACCTATATCTTTGATGATTTGTTTTGAGAAAATGGAAACTAGAATAGGATTTCTTTTTGGAGGGTTTATTAAATACATATTGAAGAGTAGAAAAAAAATTTTTATTAAAAATTTTATAACAAAATAGCGGCGGTAAATTTCATAGTAAAAATCGACTATTTTTTTACGACCGGAAAGGTTTTTTGAACAGTTTAAGTCCTGAAACACAAAACAAAGAAATTTTATAATCTATATAATATAAACTTGAAAAGTACATAGGATTTTTTTAATTGGATGTAAACTTTAATTTTTATAAACAATTTACTTTTTATTTTTTGTCGAAAAATTGATTATTTTACTAAAAAAGAGCACCATTTCTACAAAAATTGATATAAAAAAACTTCTATGTACTTTTCAAGTTTATATTATATAGATTATAAAATTTCTTTGTTTTCTGTTCCAGGACTTAAACTTTTCAAGAAACCTTTCCGGCCGTTTTGGTAAAGAAAAAAATAGTCGATTTTTTCTATGCAATTTACCGCCGCTATTTTGTTATAAAATTTTTAATAAAAATTTTTTTTCTACTCTTCAATATGTATTTAATAAACCCTCCAAAAAGAAATCCTATTCTAGTTTCCATTTTCTCAAAACAAATCATCAAAGATATAGGTCTCTTTTTCTGACTCTAGGGTAGTGTTACCCCTTAACTAACTACAATTTAAATAATGTTGCAAACTACAAAGAAATTGTAGGTGTTTGGATTTTTTTTTGCAAACATGATATAACTCGAAGAGGTTGTAATAAATTTGGGTGAAAATTTCGAGGCAATATTTTCATATTAATATCTTAAATTTCAATTAAAAATCATCATAATAAAATATCAAATTGAAAAAATTACTGTTTATTTAGAAATAATAAATTTTACTTTCTAAGATTAAATGATCACAGACATTTTAAAAAATGATTGTTTTATTGCAATTCTACTAAAACAATTAAATATTTATGAATTTTTCTTTCTTATTATGATTTTTATATTTATAATAAATACAATATAAAATTAATGAAAGTCATATTTAAGAAAATAAAAATATTATAATATAAACTTTACCTATATTTCAGTGAATGCTCAAGGAGGTTATGTTAATTATACGCATCTTTACATATACAAATAATATATTATCATTCCTTACCTGCTTATATTTCTGAGATGTATACACGTTTTGATGATACACTACAAAGCGATTCAATTTTATTTACTTTAATAAAAGATTTATGTAACAAAAAACCATTAAAAGTGAATTCACTTATTCACTAAGCACATGGGGCACATGGCTTGGCTCTAACCCACTCTAACCTCTAGTGGAGACGTGGAGTCACGTGGAGTGTCGATGACGTCGTCAGCAATTAGAGAGAGAAAAAAGACGATTGGAGTAAAAGAGATTAAATTCAAATTTGAATTTTCTTTCTCCATTACTTTTGTCCGTTTTCTTGCGCACAAACTAAATTTATGTTTATTTTTTATATCGTTAAATTTTTTATGAATTTATAATAATATATAATAGTTATTGTAAGAATTACAACTTAAAAAAATTTAAAAACATAATTATGTTTTCTAACTACGCATGCGCGTGCGCACCAATGCGCAAGTCTGTTTCTAGACACGTAGTACTTCCGATTGCTATAATATACATACACTTGTTGCGCATCACGGCATCATGCTCTGTCTCCGGTTGTGATATCGCTTCGAGTACTACAAAAATTGAAATTAATTCATTTTCTTATACTATATTTAATAAACAAAGTGTTTGAAGTTGTGTTCCAAATGTAGTAGGCAGGTAAGAATTAAATAAGAAGTAATTTAATTATATTTTCCGCAATAAGAAAATCCCTTAATCATTTTTGCTGAAAAATATTCTGAATACGTATAACACGTACTATTCTTAAAAACTTTTTATTACATACATATATTAAAAATGTATTACAATTTTTATAATAGTTAAGCAATAAGAATTTCATCAATTTCATCTATTATTTAAAAAAACAATGTTAACCATAAAGCTTTTCTTTGAATCGTGTCAAATTCTTATTCACTTTTTTAGGTTATGAAAGATAACCAACAAATTATAAGTTTTCAAAAAGTAGTAAAACTGCTTTTTACCTGATATTTATTTTGATAATTATTGCAATTTACGAATGAAATTCTTGTCACATACATAATATACTTTATCTTCTAATAAGTATTTTGCAAATATTTTATTATTTTTAATTATAAATTATAATGTTATAAATGATCAGTGATTGTATAAACACAAATTGTAAATTTATTAATAAATTAATAACATGTTAAAATTTTACTCTTTCAGAGTTTATTTTTAGAATTTCATCATGAATGAGAAATATCCGTATGCTGTTGTTGAATTCAATGACGGATTTGAAATCATTAGAACAGAATGGGCTGTTTTTCAAAATCAACAAATGGTAGCAAGTTATTTCCCAACGGGAGCATCGAAGACGGATCTCTTGGATTCATAAATTTTACCCACTTTCCGTAAATATTAATATTTTCATGTAAAAAGAATTTTTTTAAGACAAGTAATTTTAATGTCAGTAAATTATCAGGAAAATTGATGAACTGAAAATTGTGGCCATCCTGGTATTATAACATTTAAGAGACATAATTTTTTACGTTTCTTATTTTAGGTGCAATGGGCGAATTACATAAAGAAGTTAACACTGATGTAACAAAAGAGCACATTGCCAAATGGTTAATCAATTGCAAGATTAGACATAAGCGTGAGAAGTTAGTAACAAAAAAGTTTAAATTTTTAAACTTAATTTATAAGGGTGAACACATGTCAGTAAAGTCAGGGAAATGTCAAGGGAACAAAATTTTTGTCAATAAAAAAATGTTTTTGAATCATTTTTTAACATAATTAAATTTTTCAAATTTTAATTGCAAATTTTGAATTTATACGAACGTTAGAATTTTTTATGAATTAACAAATTTTTTAATATAATAAAAATTAAATGATTTAATTGACACTTAAAGTGAAAAGTATTTTCTACAAAAATTTCTTCAAAGCAAAAATATGTTGTTTGTACGTATGATAATTACCAATTAAAGAAGATTCTTTAAAATAAAAAGAAAATGTATATTTCATTAATATTATAAATAAATAATTTTTTTCCAATAAGGCATCTGTTTACTCTTGAAATTTTCCTCAAAAAGTACATTTTTTTTAAATATATTTTATGAAAAAATGCTTTTATTTTATGCATTCATTACAAGAAATAAGTGATAAAATTTGAAACAAATGCAATAATTAAATTCAATATAAAATTTTTATACATATTTCATATCTTCTCTTGCGCGTTAAAATAAAAAAAGAATTTTTTTTTCCAAAAATTTGCAAAATTTTTAGAACCTTGCTTAAACCTAACGGTAACCTTACCGTGTAACGTTACAGAGTAATATTATATAGGGTTACCTTGCAACCTTACAGTGATATTATCGTACAATCTTACATTAACATTGCGGTAACCTTACCGTGTAACATTACAAAAGGTGGGACATTTTGACCTTACGGTAACATTACAGTAACATTACACTGTAATGTTTGTAACCTTACACAGTAATCTTACCATAAGGTTACGTAAGGAAACGTGCTATCTGGGAAAGCTCAGAACATCAATTTTTTTGTGTACCACCCGTGTAGAAAATTGTCGCTACAGTCTAGATATATTTTCAGCCAGTCTAGTTTTTTTCTAGCGTTGCTATTTACAGCAATGCTAGGCTGGTACGGTCTTGATTCTATCTTGTTTCCTAGACAGCCTTGTAATTTTTATATAGATTTAGCACCGCATTGAGAGAAATTTCTGCATAAAATAGTATTGAAACACTCAACGCGCTTTGCATGCCCTCTGTCGTGAGTTTTTGTTATGAAAACATACTGAATTCGCTCCGAAGTCATACCAAAAGAGCGTTATCCCTACGAAATAAGCATGTTGTTTTCACCAATGGGGTATGTCATATAGATGTGAAAAAAGCATGGCTACAGTTCATACTATTTTATGCAGAAATTTCTCTCAGTGCGCGCTGTAATTCTAGTAAAGCTACGTAGACGCTACCTTGGTGCTATCAAGTTTTCCTAATTATATTTTTATCACAACGTAAAATGAAATGCCAATATAGTTATTATACAGAAATACTATGTTTTATACTATTAACTATATTTTACTGTTTTTTGCTATAAACTTTTTTAATTTCATTATTATTATTCAGTTTACTTTAAACTAGCAGAGCTACGCGCGCGATATTTCTGTTTCTGTCTTTTGATACTCAAGACCTTATTTTATTGTGTGTATATAAAAATGTAAGACCTTATGATCCGTTTTTTTCTTTTTCTAAAATATTGGAAAAAGATTACAATTTTTTTTTGAAGAATTAAAAAACATAAAACACGAAAACCAAAAATTAAACTTAACACACTGAGCTATATTGTAAAATGTTTATAAAACGATAAGGTAATTACAGATTTTTTCAAGATACTAGAAAGGTTTTTTCGCAAATAGAATTAACATTACCAATTTGTTGAAATTTGTACCACTGTTAGATAAAAGTTTTTAAAAAATGTAGTTAAATTTTTTAGACCTGTGGGGACTTGTGAAAAAAGTTATAAGCGTCTTTGTTTTTAACTTTTAACATTAAGTTTTGTGGGAATTGAGTACATTTTCAAACATATTTACTCACCACAAAGTACTTAAAATTAAGAAATTAATAAAACATTTTTTAATACGAGACAGATATATAATGGTTAAATATCTGTTTAAAAAGTGTCATTAGGTACCTGTGAGAGTTGCAATAAATTAATTTGTAAAAAAATTTCATGTTTTATACAGTATATTGGACAGCTGTTTGAACATCTGGAAACATTGCACACAATTTTCTACTGAAAACTAAATGTAAACAAGTCATACCAAGCATTTGCAACACGACTAAAGAATGCTGTGTTGCCATACGTTTCAAAGTACCAAGCAAGTCAAATTACAAAATAATGGTTTTTCTTTTGATTAGTTTAGTCAAGCGATAGAAAAACTTTATATATATTAGTAAGAATAGTGAATATTAGTGAATACTAGAATATTAGTGTCACATTTCGCTTATAGCGTGTAGGACGTTATTTCAATAATGTGAACGCGTAAATATATTCTTTTTTCTGTTTCTGATGAGGACGGCAGCGCTGTCGAAACGTAAAAAGAGAGTTTTTTAATTTTTAACTTCCTTGACTCAGTGTGATCGATTACATCAAATTCTTACTATTTAATACGACTGAGTGATAGAATAAATCCATTATTTTTATATATATTAATTATACATCAGAAGAATTATTTTATTGAAGTATTCTTCCTTCTTTGTTAAAACATTGACACCGAGATTTATTAATAGTCATGATATAAGTCGAGGTATAAGCCGTCCATAAACCACGAGGACAATTTTTTATTAATTTTTGACCCTCCCCCCATCCAATATGGAACACAAATTTTTACTTTATGCAATGGACCTTAATTTTGTCACTCGGTGGTTTTTAGGGACGCTGATTACGAATTTGATGTAAGTTTTCATAAATTTAAAATGGTGTATTCAATATGGCAGAATTTTCTTTTAGATTTATGCAATTGACCTTAATTTTGTTACTCGAGAGTTCTAATACCAGTCAGTTAGCTGTAAATGTCATAGGAGCGCTCACTGACAATTATTTTAGCACTTGCGTCGATTCACGACCAGCGAGCGTGTATAGAAAATTTTTTTTAATTTTTCTTTCCCATATTATATTAGTCATTTGAAATTTTAAAAACAAACATCGCATTCGTAATCAGCGACCCTAAAAACCACCAAGTGACAAAATTAAGATTAATTGCATAAAGTAAACATTCTGTTCCATAATAGATCCGTCATTTTGATTTATGGGAAACTAAAATTGAATTCGTAATCAGCAACCACAAAAATTCCCGAGTGACAAAATTAAGGTTTATTGCATAAATTTTAAAAAATTTTGTTCTATATATTAAATCCGCTATCTTGAATTTCTTAAAAATAACATTAAATTAGTAATCAGCGACCCTAAAAGCCTTCGAGTAGGAAAACTTAGGCGAATTTAATTACATATTAGTATTTTGAAAAATAGTCACCACCCCTTTCAAAGTTCCCTTCATATTTTAGGCCATATTTGGTCCGCCATCTTTAAATTTTACATTCTAATTTACTTTTTTTAAAAGTATACAATTTTTGTGCCTCTATGGATGAGAATTGAATATTATTCACGCACGTTTAACTCCTTAGCAGAGTAGTCAAAAGAAAGTTTTCGTGTCACAACTTTGCTAAATTTTTTTATTTCTTTTAATGCCAGATATCATTATATTTTATGTTTTTGAGGTTACTGAATCCAAATATTTGGATGGGTAAATGGGTAAAAAAAATAACCAAACTTGAAAAAATGAAATTTCTTTTCTGTTTTTAAAGATAAAACCGCTATATTTAATTTTTGTTTTAAACGAAATTCTTTTTTTTCACCCCGGAATCGAAAAGAGCACACTCAATACCTATAAGAAACATACTTCCGGTATAAAATATAATCTGTTTTATTCATAAAAGTATAGGTTGAATTTGCGCAAAGAATTTTCTTATTTTAGGCGTTAATGGGTTAATCATTAAAATAATATTATAATATTTGGGGAGAGTGGGACAAACCGTCCAGATGTCAATATCTCCGAAATGGCGAGATTGTCAAAACTGTTGTTTAGAATTTCAAAACAACCATGTGTAGTATACCTTATTTTTAAACTAACATTTATACTCAAAATGAGCGTATGGGGCAAACAGTAATAATTTCAATAAGTTAAAATTTGACTGGTTCCCTTCTTAAATTATTCTCTTCGTGTTAATAGTAATTTTTTCTATAATTATTGAAATACCAGATTTTCTGTCTTGGTAGTTAAAGACTTGCAATGCAGATATCAAGTTTTCTTGCACTTTCTTTCTTCTTTTCTGGACGTTTCGAGGAACCATGGCTACTTTTTTCGTAATTCGATGACGTTGTCGCAAAAGGTTCTATTGGTGCACTAGTATCTTTATATAAAAAAAAAGTTTGCAATCTTATAATCGAGTCAGTCAAAATATAAAATAAATGAACTAAAAAGAGTTGTAAAAATGAAAAGGTTTTTTTATTTTAAGTAAATTAAAATTTTTTTCACTTATATTAAATTCTTATTTCCCTAAAAATTCATGTCGGGAAACATGTTGTTCATAATTTTCTCATTACCAGGAATTTGCGGTTTTCATTAATTTATCGATAATTAAACTGATAGATTTCATTGGTTCTTTAAAAAAATGAAAAGGGCCCATTTTGTCGGTCATTTGCAAAAAAATCCTTATTTTAAAAATGGAGGTGTAATTGTGTAATTGTCGAAATGAAAATTTGGATCAATTTTTTCACAATAAAGACTGTCAAAAAATTTTAAATAAGATTAATATCTATTCTTTTTCTTCAAATGACACAATAAAATTGTACCTAATCATTAATCTTGTAAAAATATTATATTAAGCAACAAGGGTATAAAGGCAGCCATTTGGTCACAAAAATCATCGTGAACAAATTGGCTGCCTTTATTCCCTTATTACATACGATATTTTTTATTTCTAATGCACAAAAGTGTCGATTTCAGATAGCAGACGACAGGGAGTAAAAGTCATTTACTTGTTCGAATTGTATGAAAATGGCGGCCTTTTTTACCTTGGGCAAAAAAAGCATGGGACCAACTGTTCTTTTGCCCTTGGAAAAAAATCGCTATTTTCATACGGTCGAACAAATAAATGACTGTTCAAAACAGGCAAAAAGAAGGCTTTTTTAGTATATATTATTAAAATAACTATGACATTTATTTAAAAAATTTCTTTTACATGATGTATTCCACGTCAGTTCAACACAAAAAATTTTATTAGGTTTTGGGATTCGGTTGAAATTAGGTAGATTATATCCTCTGGTGGTAGTAAATAAAATCCCTAAGCGATTTTAAAAAATTTTAAAAATTGGCGGACATATTGGATTTTTAAT